TCTATTCTATTCTATTCTATTCTATTTTATTCTATTCTATTTTATTCTATTCTATTTTATTTTACGTTCATGGGAACCGATTAGAATACGTTCGCTCTCTCCCTATTAGGTACTTTCTTACATTTTTTCCCTAACTATTAACCGTCTTATGTATACATAAAGGTTTTGTATACATGAACCTTGACCCAACAAAGTCGTAAACTTGGACATATTGCTGATGGTTTAGCATGGTATTTCTTTTTATTTACAACGACAATTGGTGAAAAATGTTATGTATTAACATAACTAAGTGCGTAAATAACTCAGTAATATATAATTGTGGTAAATACTGGAGGGTGGACCATAACAACATCAACAAAAACAAAAACACGCTAAAAGATTGATTAAGAAAAATGGCTTCAAGCGCGCACTATCCCCGTGCGCATGCGCTTCGTAATTTGTTAATAATATATGAATAAACATATTTTATTTGGCGTCCGATTCCGTTCAGTTTAACGACGCTTTACAAAAATATCAAGATCAATAAACAAGATCAATAAATTTATATCAATATTAATAAAACTTTTAAATATATATATATATGGTATAAACTATTAAAAACTATTGCATTGAAAATACACATTTCATAAAAACAATAAAATAAAATGCATTTTTAATGTAATATTATCAAAAAGCACATAAAGATATCTATAATATATATACTATCATACGAAAGTAAATCCTGCAAAAGTAAAATGAAAACCAGATATTGCAATTAAGGTATATCAAATGCCCTTTTAGTCTAACGTATTTTGTTATTTAATAGTCTCCTATTTACCACTGCTCTCGACCAATCAGAAAGCAAGAAGTTCCTATTTGTGGTTACATTAAACTGTGAAAAAATGGTAATGAGCATGGAATTCAACGCCGATATTTTAGTAATCGCATTGCGCGTGCGTACACGCAGGTACGTGAGGTCTTTCGGATCCAATCTCGATCGTACCCATTCTCTGCGTTTCTTCTGCCGGCAAAGAACGAGGGCTCCGGCCTGGGCTCTGGCATAATCTTTTTTTTTTTTTGAGACCAGGATTTCTTAGACTTTCGGTACAAGAGCGAATGTATTCAAAGACTTGTCAAAAAATAAATTTCTAATTTCTATTTCGATAGGAAGTAAACACAATATGTTTGAAAGCATAAAAACTCTTGTTTGAAAGCATTATTTTTATTGATTATAATTTCGCATCTGGAAAACTCACGCATGCGCCAAAAAAGGCCAGAGCTCTAATTCGTAGCCGCAGGCTAGAAGAATTGAAACGAAGGCTCGGGGTTCGAGATTGTAATTTCGGATCCAGTGTCCTGGCATCAGTATTCTTCCGTCGGTTATATTGGTTCAGGTGTCTGGAAACAATATTGGGAGTCACTATCGAGGATTCTTGTCGGAAGTGTTTTACAGGTATCACTGAATGACAACATAAAAGGCTGGTTCACACTAGCGTCGGAGTCGGAGTCGGAGTCGGAGTCGGAGTCGGAGTCGGAGTCGGAGTCGGAGTCGGAATCAGAAGCGCAAGAAGCTTACGATCTTTTCTTTTTTTAATGGATAACCTAAGAATTTGTTTCAAAAGCTACAGTCAGTTCAGAACGCTGCAGCTAGAGTTGTTACTTTTAACGGGCAAAAGAGAATATGCAATGCCTATTTCATAGAGAAACTTCATTGGTTACCAATTGTGAAGAGCGTGTTGTATTTAAGATCTTGTTGCTAACATATAAGGCGGTGAATAATCTGGCCCAATCGTATTTCTCCGAATTCGTTGATCCGTATCCAATAGCAGTCGTTTAGTAAGTGTGTGTAACATATAAACTTAACATATGGATATAGAGCTTTTCCATGTGCAGCACAATCTCTATTTTTATGGAATGAGTTGCCGAAGAATCTTAGATGCATTTGTAGTGTTAGGCCCAGGGCAAACGTCGAACTAACAATGAGCTTAATCTAGTCGAACCTATTACATTTGAAATAGGCTCAAGCCTAGTACGACGTTTGCTACAATTGAGACGACGGCCTATTGAATAGGTTCGAGTTCAGCATAAGTTCGACAAGCCAAGTCGGACATTACGACTCTGGAGCGACTTTGAGGCAAACGCCGTTTTAAACACGTGCCGAACTAAATTCATAAATTATACAAAACAGTAAATCAATCATRCAAGTCGCATGACTTACACCAAAGCCGTGAAAACAACCCACTCCCCCACCTCCCAAACACTCATTCCCCCCCTGGCGAGCATGCGCTATGCAAAGATGCATGTGATGAACGAGACCGAGGAGCTCTGGGTACGAAAATAAATTCAAAACCACTCAAACTGAACATGTCCGCGTTTAGAAAATCYTTGCTACGAGACGAGACTCTCGAGTCTTGCAGTTTTTGTTTTGACCAAACGAAAAATGTTTGCCTGGTTTGTGAGATGCCGACCTACAATAAATGTGCTGTATTCGAGAGCAATGATAAAAGGAAAAAAAATATGAATGAAAAACAGGCAATAAGTGCAGAATGCAATGCCATTCTTCGTTTTCTGTTTTGTAGTACTGTGCATTCCGTAGAAATGCCCGTTTTAATTGTGGTCGAGCGCTATATTTCTCCATTGCAAGGATATGCATTAATCAGGAAAAGGCAAATAAATGTCCGTGCGTTCCCCCGTGCATTTTCATGTCCAATTAAAATTATAATAACAATGGGGGAGTGAATTAATATCGACATTGGTTCGACGTTTTCCGCCACGTAGGCCCTTAGGCCCAGGTCAGACGCCGTAATTCACATGAGCCGAACCTAATACAGGGTAATAAGGTCATGTGAAGTACGGGGTCTGACCCAATTAAGTTCGACTGATTCAATTTGGACCGACTAAGTCGTTCTTCCCGACTAGGTCAKTCTTATAGATAGGTTAAATAGGTTCGGTACGTGCGACGTTAGTCCGACGTTAGCCCTGTGCCTTAATGAATTTAAGAGATTTGCTAGAACATATCTTTTAAGGAAAGCTTTTAATCGGTAGTTTTATTTATTTATTCATTTATTTATTTTTTAATTGATATATTTATTTTTTTAAATAATTACAGAATTGGAAAAATCAGCGATGATTTTCAAACGAATCGATTTTAATTAATCGCTTATCATTTTCTTTTCTTGTATTCTTTTCTTATAATATATGAAATTTAGCTTTAGACGACGCATTTAGGCTTAAGATATTATTGTACATAGAATTTAGATCATATTGTGAAGCGCCATTGGACAGAAATGGAAATTACGCTATAGAAATAATRTTATAGAAATATTGCTATTATTATTATGGCAAGTTTTATTTGTCTGTATATCATGTTTACATTTACCAGCGGACTAAGTCTAGGCTGGTTAAGTTCATATCATTTTTTCAATCCTTTCTTCAGTTTATGCATATTCATAGAGCGTCTTTCACTATATTAACGTTCTGTCTTAAACGTCATTTCTGACATCGTTCTATAAGAAAATTCACTTCCC